ACATTTCTGTACTAATCTCAAATATCGTAAACATTTTAAAGACAATGTTGTTTTTATGCTCTTAGTATCGAAAAAGTTAAGTAAACAGTGATTTTACCATACTTCATAGACATACTATAAACAAAATGTCTGATTGCCGCCGCCCTTTAAGTAGTGCTAATGCTTTAATGCTTTTCCTCAAAGTGCTGAATGAGCTTTTGCGATCCTTCTTTAATTGTTGTCGGTCGAGTTAATAATGTGTACCTTAATCATGTAATTTCATTTAGAAACATCAATATCTTCTAATGAATAAATGGCAAAGTTTGTGTTTCCCAGATAATTAAATTTACTTAAAATATAGGCCAATGTAATATTTTAAATAGGCTTCGAACCTTAGATCCAATTTGAAGCCCTCTCAAATCTACATTTCAACGTTTTCGGGGGCTTTTCCCTGAACCCCCGCCGGGGCTTTGTTTCTTGACCCCAGGTAAGAAAATGTTTATTAATTTCGCTTCTACTGATTTGATAAGCCCTACCACAGTGCTGCTTCGCCACCAATTGTATATTGACACTATTAAACTACTATCTATCTAATATCTCTTTTTTTTATACCTAAAAATATTCTAAACAGTGCATTTTGACTATTACAAGGAAAATATCAGTATTATTCACAATATTTATGCATAAAGCGCTAATAAAAAGGTAACGGTTTTTCATATAAAACTAAATTAATAACTAGATAATTAATAATTTCAATGGATCTTGTTCGTGATAGGACGGTTATGGGTTAGGTAATCTACACAAATTGATCACAAACAGTTAGGGCCAATGCTGTTTAGACGTGTGCATTATACGTTGATCCACTGTTTTAGCAGAGGAATGCTATTAAGCCTGTTAGTAGTATACTGTACATTTTGCTTCGTCTCATGGTTCTCATAATTAAATTTTTGATAGCAGATACTTCATTCGAGGTCGACTTATGGCAGCTACCGTATCTTGTATTTCGCTACATGTATTTCCATCATGTGAAGTCATATTTATCTATATAACGTACTATATCAGATTTTAAAATGATTTCCATCTGTATGGATGTCCTTGTCTTCTTCAATGTATGTTTGTCTTTTGATTCTGTTAGTTAAAATCCATCTAAGCTTACATTAATGTTACCATTATATATATATATATATATATATATATATATATATTGCCTTGGTTTGGCTCTGTAATCAATACATATATATATATATGCCAAAAACATTCTTATCATAAGTTGCTTATAAGCTGCGATGTTATTGCCTGAAATGAACGTATGTTAAAACTGTATATGGTTAAAAACTATTGTTATCAGAAGTTGCTTATAAGCTGAGATATGTTTAGTAATTATTTGTACGAAACGTGTTTTTTTTTAAATAATAATTAATTTTATTTTTAATTCATATAAAATTTAGTTTAAGAAATCTAGTAATAATTTATTATTTTTTATAATTTAAATAAACTTATATGAGGTAGAATGTATAGGCCTATATTTTATTTTACCTATCATATAATTTGAAATGCAGTCAAATGTCACTGACCAATTTATGGTCAAAATAACCTTCTGAGTCACCATCTGACCATAATCCTATCCTTAAAGTATAACGGTAGGCTTATGCTATCATATAAATATATACAGTATTCAGAGCCTATTATAAGTGCTGTGTAGATAATGAGATGTACCATCTTGAAATCTATAATAGCCGTCATAATGACCCTTAGCAAAAAATTAATTTAATGCTCTGACTAAACTATTTTTAATGAGAATCTACGTATTTGTAGTTCATTTCGACTATAAAAGTATCGTTTTAACGAAAGTTAAAATGCCGTTGTGTCAACTGGGGATACAAAATTGTTGTTACAAAAAGTTAACCATTTATACCTGAGTCAACTATGGTGATCACATCATCATTAAAGAGAATCAAGATGACACATTGATAAATTCCCAATAATTATATTATTTTTTTTTTGCCAAAATAAAATATTCATTATCAGATTTTATTTGATTTTCAGTGTGTAAAGGAAATTTGAAGAAGGTCTAATTATTAACACGTTAACTCATTTTTGTAAATTTCCATGATTTGACGGTAGGCTTAGGTTGCATGAATTCAAATATTCAAATTATAGGGATTTTTTCCCCGATGAATAACATTATCTTGTAATAGATACTGCACAATAGCGCATATTAGTTATATATGTACTCGTTGCCGATCTTCCTTACGGAAATCATTTTGTGTCGATGGTCGACCTTTTCTTCTTTAACTTGGGCAATGTAGCAAGCAAAAGCTAACGAACCAACGACAAGCAATGAAGCACAAATGATCACCGCGACAACTACTGTTTGGTTCTCGTCCATCCATCCTCCATTAGACGAAGATTGAGGCGGGGATTTTGTGTTGGGCGCCTTACTAAATTGAAGTGTCGACGTTTTCTGAAGATGGGTTGGTTCCGTCACTAAATTAATAGTATAGAAAGAAAAATCTCACAATTTTAATGGAACGTGGAAATATCAATTTTGAGTAATGTATTAAGACATTTGTATATGAATACTCGATTAAATTTTGGTCTAGGTTTTATTGTCGCTGTGGTATCACTTGTTGGCATTTAAAATGCAGCCGATTCAATTGGAATAATGTAGGGGTGGCGCCAGTGGGGGTGGGACCAGAGCTGCCCCCCCTCTCCCGTCAGGGAGAAAAACCACAATTCGTCGAGGAGAAAACAAAATTTAAATTGTAAAAATCCTGGCGCCATCCCTGCAATGATGATACATTGAAAACTTTAAACGTAGAGCGATATAGCATATACTGCATACATACATACATACATACACACATACATACATACAAATACATACAATATATATCCTCTTACGTAAATTAAGATTTAAAAGAGACAGAAGACAGCTTTACTTACTAATCTCCCGCGTACCCCCGTGTATGACCGTAGTCGGAATATTGACAGCTAGGTAAAAACAGCAAGATATTATATTCGTTAGATTACATTACTGCCTATAATTTCTTCATAATGTAATTACTTCGCAACGACGTGTCAAGAATTACGTATAGCACTTAGGAATGTCTTTAAAAATTCATCCAGAAATCCTTGACAATAAGAGTATAACATGTGTATATAAACGCTAGCGAGTATAGATTAGGATTTCATGAAGGATAATAAATGAGCATAAAAGCTCATCTCTGAATTTCTTTTCAAACATTTACAAAATTTGCAATGAAAATATAAAATAGAACAAGGAAAATATCACCTAGTATAAAAATTACCTAATAATGATGGCGCTGAATGGCAGTGGTAAAGCCGTGTGATGAGGATATAAATAATCATGATGATAACGACAACGATGATGATGATGATGATGATGATGATAATCATTTAAAAAAAAACATTGCTTGCGTCATACAAAGTGATCTTAATTTCAGATGTGTTCAGTGTCATTGGAGAAATACATGGTTTAATAATAAAAGAAGGGATTACATTGACTGTCCTTTAAACGAATCAAAAATAAAAAACTTGCAAAACATTAATAGTCAACTTAAAACAATAATAATAATACAATTTTAATAAATATATTGTTAGAAGTCAAAATAGTAGGCAAATTATAGTAGGCTTAATGACGATAATAATAATAATAATAATAATAATAATAATAATAATAATAATAATAATAATAATAATAATAATATGTACTAGTAATACTAATAACTAAAAAACAACAACCAACAGCAGCAGCAACAATAAAAAATTATATATACATCAATATTAAATAAATTTAGGGACACGCATCTATAAAGATGCTAGCCATCCAGATTGGTGGAATTAAAAGAAGGATAGCAATTTGGAGGGAGAAAAATAAAAAAAAGATGAAAAAGATGAAGTATTTATGGAAAGGCCAGAATCTAAATACAAAAGTTGTAATCATAAGAGGGTTGACATTCCCTACAGCTATATGGATGCGAGTCTTGGATTCCAACTGAAAAAGTGAAGGCTGCCATAAATGTTTTTGAGATGAAGTACTATCGAAGAGTAATTTCTGTTTTGTGGAATAGGACTCAGAACAAATCAGTCAATGAGAGAACAATTGGCTATTGAAGAAAACTGGCTAATACACTTAATTTCAAAACTCAAATTAAAATATTTTGGTCACATCAAACGTCACAATTGTTTAGAGTAGAGAAAACATTTATGGAAGGTAAAATCGAGGTAAATAGAGGTAGAGGACGGCCAAGAAAAAGATCAGAGAAAGACAATGAAGAAACTACTAAACGTCAGTGTAGTTAAAGCAGGGAGAATGACAACAGAAAGAACTTCCTTCCGTGTATGTAGCTATCAGGAAAGCTACGTGATGGATGAAATGAGGATATGCAGAATAAGTACGGTAAGTAATAAATAAATAATAAATGCTCTGTTTAACCGTGAAATATTACTGGAAACGTATGACATCCAATTAAGATTCTAAACTTACATTCTGGCGTTTCAATCGTTATAGCGGCAGGTTTTCCCATTACAGTTATATCACCTTCCTTTGTTACAAAGGCAGCAATCTGAAATATTAAAGGAATAGAGAATTGAAAATTTCCGAAATTAAAATGTACAATAAGGTAATGATCTAACATTTTAATTTGATTTGGGAATATTAGGCTTTCAGTATACAGACTCTGTTTGTTAGTGTAAGTACGGTATGTAATTGCCTGTGAAATATCCTACTCTGCTTACAAGGTAAAAAAAAAATGATTTAATTTTAATCGAAAATACACACAAGACGTTCACTAATTAGTGTTCTTTGGAATTATTTTCACAAACAAAAAGCTTGCATAGTGATTACAAACATGTTTTATAAACATGAACTACAGGAAATTCTGGTAAAAGCTGTAAGAAGCGTCAAAATATCGTTAAAAGATGTGCTTTCAAATCCCTGTCAAAAAGCCAAATGTATAACTTGGTTTATTTCCTTTGATTCTGAGTTTTTTTTATAGTCTGAATCATTAAAGAGAACGCCTACAAATCCCCAGGACTAAAATGCAGTGGTTAGCAGGCCGCAAAATACCCAACTTTCTCGGTAGGTTTCTGAAAAGGTCAACATATTCTGGAAAGGCTGTCAACATCTGTAATCCAGAAAAGGGTGATGGGTATTGCATGAACGAACAGTACCACGACAATAAGCCTATTACGGTAATGGGCAACAATGCAAGTAATTCTTTATAGTGAGTAGATTTACTAAAACTGAAATCGATGACTTTTTATTTTCTGTGTTTAGGTTTCAAAAAATGAGGAAAGCAGTGGCGTATCTAGAAGTTTTCACCATCTAGAAGGTGAAGTGGGGGAGGGGTGCTCGATGATCAGTTGAGGGGCACTAACTAGCAAAATAAGGTGACTTTAGGTCATTTTTAACTACTTGCAAGTGATTTGGGGGGTGGGGGCGAGTATTTTTTGGAGGGGCGTGTGCTTTCGCACACCCCCTAAATACGCCACTGGTTAAGAGACAGGTGTTCAGTTAATACTTTGCTAAAACTGGTCTTGTATCAAAGGGGTCTCAAATTGAAGAGTGAACTGTATTGCCTTTTGGCATCTTTTTTATCATGTAGTTTAAAATCAATTCTTAATTATTGACACTCTTAAAATGCATTTGAAGACAATGAACTATAACCTTTCAGTTGCCAATCGAAACATAAATTAAATATTACTTTAATAATGTGCTCGAGTTATCAAATAAATAATGTGGTTCTCATATCGTCTGTTGACAACAATTTGATAGCTTTAAAGCGACACTCTTACTAGTGTACAATACTCATTTTAGGCCACAGGCCTCATCATATATAAACCTATAGGGCCTATTTTACTATTGTTTGGATGTGAATCAGTGCGTAACCGAATTTACATACACAAACGCTCACTGTCAGAATGCATTGATACGGCGCGCGAATATGACGTCAAATTAAGAGGGTTGCCTTTACCCTCCTCTCAGATTTAATGTTTAGGTATACCTTTAACGTATATGATTTATCCTTCTGCAGTCCTTCTAAAAGCACAGAATAGCGAACCTCCTAGAAGAGACAAATATTTATACTAAATAAATACTGTACCACATTACCACAACACAAAACAAATATACCGTAAAACCTCGAATTGAAGCCCTTTTTTTTTCGAGATGGGCTATTTTTTGAGATGGGCTTCTTTTCGAGACTATTATTGCAAAGTAAAGAGAGGGGCTTCTTTTCATCTCGAGATTAAGCCCACTGGGTTTCAATTCGAGGTTTTACGGTGTTGCAAAATATACTGCCACAATTAAAAAATAAACTCAAAAGTGAAAAATATCATATTCAATGTTTTACAGACCAATCAATTCATAATTATTGACACTCTTAAAATGCATTTGAAGACAATGAACTATAACCTTTCAGTTGCCAATCGAAACATAAATTCAATATTACTTTAATAATGTGCTCGAGTTATCAAACAAATAATGTGGTTCTCATATCGTCTGTTAAGTTTGACAGGCAACAATTTGATAGCTTTAAAGCGACACTCTTACTAGTGTACAATACTCATTTTAGGCCACAGGCCTCATCATATATAAACCTATAGGGCCTATTTTAATATTGTTTGGATGTGAATCAGTGCGTAACCGAATTTACATACACAAACGCTCACTGTCAGAATGCATTGATACGGCGCGCGAATATGACGTCAAATTAAGAGGGTTGCCTTTACCCTCCTCTCAGATTTAATGTTTAGGTATACCTTTAACGTATATGATTTATCCTTCTGCAGTCCTTCTAAAAGCACAGAATAGCGAACCTCCTAGAAGAGACAAATATTTATACTAAATAAATACTGTACCACATTACAACAACACAAAACAAATATACCGTAAAACCTCGAATTGAAGCCCTTTTTTTTTGCGAACTTTGGATGGACTTCTTTTCGAGATGGGCTATTTTTTGAGATGGGCTTCTTTTCGAGACTATTATTGCAAAGTAAAGAGAGGGGCTTCTTTTCATCTCGAGATTAAGCCCACTGGGTTTCAATTCGAGGTTTTACGGTGTTGCAAAAGATACTGCCACAATTAAAAAATAAACTCAAAAGTGAAAAATATCATATTCAATGTTTTACAGACCATTTCATTTTTTTTCTCTTCCCTCTTCTTTCCTTTACTTATCTTTGGTGTGGAGAGGGGGGCTCTAGGGACACTGATGATGATGATAATGATGAACAGACGATCACTGCTAACAACATCATCATCATTAACAATAATAATGATAATACTACTACTACTACTACTACTACCAATAATAATAATAATAATAATAATAATAATAATAATAATAATACTGACTTTTATAGTGATAATATTATAATATTGAAGATGATAAAAATACTTAAAGCCCAAGTTCATGCACATTTTTACTAACAAAATAATAAAAAAAAAAATGCATGTGCATTACTCTAAATATCATAAACCAGGTCATATATTATCGACAAAAAAGTCTTGACTAGGCCTACTGGTTGTAGATCACATCCGCTATCATGCTGTCGCCAGCTGGAGTTTGACAGTCAAACTTCCGAGTTCGGTGAGAACATAATATATTTTGTATCCTGAACCTGTTGCATTCTTCAATATTTTATCCCGCCCACCATTGCCATAACATCTCCTGATTAGAGACATTTAATTTTTTTCATTCAAGTAATTACATAAAAAATATTTATCAACACTATTTACTGAACGGCTTATATCGCAGAATAAAATATCGAGTGACTTGAAGTGTGCTCTCTCTAATATTTTTACCGCGCACAGCACACATCAGTCGATGGAATAAGAAAAAGGTTACGATAGTTTAAACAGTTTTTCCACCGATAAACATACACAAACCGCAGATAGAAATATATTTATTTTTTGGCAGAATTCATGCACATGATATAATGTTCATTTCATACCTTTCTTGAATTATTATTATGCAGCACTGATCCGAGAATGACGTTGGTGGATTCCTCTGCATCTATGTAATTCCCATGATATCCAATAAGTGCATACTGCGGGTTAATTTGCAATGGTGGTAGCCAGGACACATTAGCCAACAACTCGTTCGAATTTGTTACGTTTGGATATATTGAATCAATCCGCAAATCGTAAACAGTTCCAACATACTGAGTTTCTATAATTTATTTAATCACCAAATTTGTTGTTAATACGTTTTCTTAAACAATATTTATCTAGAATTTTCATTTTATCTCTCCTCATCCTAATGACGGGATTTCTTATTACCAAATTTCAATTTTCTACCACTCTCATTACGATTGATATACTATATTATGTTTATGTATACGAATGAATAATAATAATAATTTAATTTTTTAGTTATATTGTCTTTAAACCTTTTTGGGCAGAAGATAATATAAATTATGGTAAAAAAAATCTGGACGTACACTAAAACTATTTTATTATTGAAACTCGTAACAAAATACTTAACAAGTTGGTTCCAATTGATTTTCTTAACGACAAACCAAAATATTACTATAAATAAAGTAAATTTTTATACAGATAACAAATGTTATTTGACAAAGAAACGGGTATTTCTTTTTGATTTTCAGGAAAGTAGTTAACAAAGGCTGACGGATTGTAAGCACATGTACATATTTAATTTTTCAAATGTTTTATTTCCATACAAAAATGATATTCAAGGATAAAAACGCAATAAAGTACCACACTGGAAAATTAATTTCCATTGTGGTCTAAAATAGAAACAATGAAGTGAAAACTAACCAAACAATGAATCAAATATTTATACGATACAATGAATTCCAAGACTACAAATATAATTAAACATCAGTTAATTTAAACGTTTCATTATAATATTCTTTAGATTCATTTAAATTTAACGTGTAGTATTTTTAAGAATGTCTGTAATGTTTGGAAAGAAAGGTTTTATTGCAAATCAGGACGATTATCAGTTCTTATTAAATTGTGCACAATGTTTATCAAAATATGCTATGTACACTGAAAATTATGTGTTCTTTCACTGTGAACTGTAAAATTTAAATCAGCTAATTAAGCAAATGTTTATTATTACGCTATTTGACATAACAGTAATAGAAATAATAAAGTTGCATTTTTTATATACCATGTGTATATTTTGTTCACTTACCTGTGGGTCTTGACGAACAGAAGTCTGCATCCATCGTTCCTAAGTAACAATCTAAAATGCGACAATGATAATATGAACATTTTGAATGTTTAAAGCTTTTAGGGGTGGTGGAAACATAATCAAATTTGCCAGAAAAGATACGTTTTAGTGGAAGTTGGATAATCTTTAAATTTAGAAATAAATGGTTTTTTTTTTATTTCATTGCATTCTTTGTGATTATTATTTTCTGTTTTTATTTTTGTAGTGCTGTTTTTCCTTTGGCCAATATCAGTTCTTTAATTACTTTTATAATTAAATCTTTAACAAAATCATAATGATTAATAATAAAAATAATAAATAGATTTATTATGTAAGTAAACAGTCAAAAAAACATTCGAATTCGAAAAGTAGACGCGATGATTTTCAAAGGAGCAAAGGGGGGATTAAACATCTATTACATTCTCTTTTCACTAATCAAATATTGATTTATTATTCATTTTAACATGTATTTACTGATACCATTATTTACGACAGAATAATCTTTCCATTACCAAAACATACTGATAACGCATAAATTACTTTTGTGAGATTACAAAGTAGAAAAGATTCTCATTATACGATGATGATAGCAGTAGATATAGAAAATAAATATGTTTAATATGCAACAGTCATACCGTTTGTACTAAAAAAGATTCCAGTAGTCGAGAGCATGTTGCGAATAGTGGACAGTTTGTCTGTTGCTTGGACCTACGTAAACATAATAATGATATTTGTATTATAGTCATTTAATATTAAACCTTATGCCGTTCCTTCATGCTATTGGCCAATGTGTAAAAAATAATTATACAAAAACAATAGCGCAAATGTAGGTAAACACGTGCGTTTGTGAGACAACAGTGTTTGTAGGACACGCGCGTATACCTAGCCATGGTTTGATTGACAGTCCGGAAAAGTCCATTGAGGCGTCAGAGGTTCCCCGATGAGGAGGTATAAAGGTCTCCAATAGAGGTCCAAATTCCCCAATAACTTCCTAGCAGGGGTACACACCCAGCCACACCAGCTTGGTGCACATTTTAAGAATTTACTCCTCTAGGTGTCCGAAAATGCAACAATGCATTTTCAAAGCTACGGAGAAGTACAGGTTTCCCCGATGTGGTGTTCTGTGTGCGTCCTGGAACCCCCGTTGGCGCTGCTAGGGATATAGAGAAGAAAGGTAATAGTATATTCATAGAGTTGTAAATATAGAGAATATTCAAAGGTTAAGTATTTAAATTTAACGCGAGCTCGTTATTAATGTTTATGAATATATTCATGATTATTAACGAGCTCGCGT